AGACCGCGGCAGGAGAAAAAGAGAGAGAGATGATCGCGTGGGAAGGCGATCGGGATCGCGGTGGATCCTTATAGGTCGGGGAAACGAGGACGTGGTGTTTGCTTCGTACGGCTGGCTTTGCCTGTGTGAGGTTCTGTGAAAGGGTGAGCGCTAATTGCGAAAACCAGGTAGCCCGGCGCTCGCCGGTTGGTATTCGTTAACGCGAGGCCTTAGAGGCTTAATTGTTCGCTTGGTTGGATGCTCAAATCAACCCGCGTCTCTAGTCTAGAGAGACGGTAGAAAATCTAGCATTGACGCTCAAATGGAAAACTTAATCAAGATAGCGAATAAATCTCCACTGCATAGACTGAACGGCAATCAAGTAGTTGGCGTGGTGGCGTGCATTCTGTTTGTGCATTCCGTCGAAGACACGCGTGGAAAATTGGATTCTTACGCGTCCGTGCGGAAAGTTAATCGAGATGAATCATAGGAACTGTGAATTCGGTAAAGCTGTGGGAATTAGGAAGTATAGATGACCTCGTTGAATTTCTTTTCGAGATGAAAAGCGTGGAAAGTCTTACGAATACTTGAATATGAATTTAATCGAACTAGTCGCGAGATGGTCGCACAGGAAATTCCATTGAGCGAAATCTTAATTGAAAAACGTGATTTCGTATAAATTTAAAATGCATCTACGATAATTAAAAAACGTGATTCATCTCTGACACGTATAAGGATTTCAATGGCCATTAGACAATTTAATTAGACAATTAATTGAGACAAATTATAAATTATAATAAAAGATATGAAATTATAGATTTTATATAAATTGACAATAATTAGGATACAATAATCATCAATGGAGTTAAATTTAACTAAAAAATGTATTAAATTTGCATCATATTTAATTTATTATTTATTATGTAGATATGTTAATACTAACATTGTTGTTAACTTTGAAATTACTATAAGTAATTCAAGAAATGGATTTATTTATATTTTGACATATATAAAAGTTAAAAACAAATTAACAAAATGTTATTTGATTTAAGAGACTGGGTTATCATTTTTCCTTAGGTTAATATTTAAGTATAGAGACAATCATATTTGCGTGAGCAATTTGATAAGTTAATGACTTTTTAAAAAGAGAGAGCTAAATCAATCACGATTCAATCTCATGGCGAATTTTAATATCGATCGAAAAATAAATCATTATGAATTGAAAAGTGGGAAGTACGAGTTCAACGTAAATTCAAGTAATTGGAAAACGCCGTGGTGACACGAGCGATTTTTTTTTAATTAACACTCAAGTAACCGACATAGATTTACGGCGATTAGGAAACCGTCATGACGTTCTCCCATTTTGATAAAAACACGCATACTTTCGTAGCCGGAAGCTACGTATGAATCGCAAGACGGATCTACCAGGTGCGACTACGTGAAGAAGACCGTTGCGATTCGATTACGCGCTTTGTCACTGCTGTCATCATGGTGGTGTCACATCGCGAGTCTAGCATCTCGTCGAACATACGGGCGATAATCGAACAGCTGAACCTGAACCCGGTGGAAAGGCGACGGCTGATCGACAAGACCAGGCAGGGCAGCAACGCGCGATGCAAGAGCTTTACGGACGGGATAGTGGTGGAGTCGCAAGCACCGAAGATCAGCATCGGCGTCTACGGTTGCAAAAATCGGGACACTGAATACGAGATACCGACCCCGATTAGCAAGACTGCGATCGCGGTGCGGAAGATCGAGATCGAGCGGTCGAGGTCAAAGGCGGAGACACGGCAGAGACTCCCTCCTCAAAAGAGGGAAGCGCACATAGTGTGCCAGGTGAAGAAAGAAGCACCACCCGTTGTACCGATGAAGAGAGAAGCGCCTGCCACTCTGGTAAAAAGAGAATACGCGAACGAGGTAAAACAGATAATATCAATCACGATCGTGCGATAAGATTTGCTTACTGGGCACTCGTTGCCTCGATCGAGAAATAATTGCCATTTATTGCCAATTTATTCTAAATTTCATTAAGATTAGCGAAAAGAAAGGCAAGAATTTATGCGCTTATTTTTATCTACGATAGATTATTATTATCAATACTTAAATTGACAATGATAAATATGATGTTTATCTTACATATCGATATTTTATCTCTCTTTATATCTATATCTATTTATATATTCATTCTGAAATAAATTAATCAGAAGCACTTTTTTTGTACTTAAAGTGTCACGTTAGTCACCTTAAAAACACATTTTTATTAATATTATACCGCACACGATCTTTAATCAGAATTTTAATGAAGCGAGTTGATGTTATAATGTAGAACAGACACGTTCTGGATTTTGATGGCGAAATACTTTGGTACTTTATTAAACGCAACGAAATCCCATTAATCGAATTCTCGCGCGAACGAAACAAGAACAAATTAATCGATCGTATGAAAACGCGGTAATATAGGATTTAATTTGAGTTTTTTGTAAAAACTCAAGGGGTTCAAGAGCAAATTTGAGTGCCAGCCGATTGTGTCGATTGGATGTTTCACCAAGGATACGTTTCTTAACAAGGATACGTTTCTCAACAAGGATACGTTTCTCAACAAGGATACGTTCCTTAATAAGGATACGTCCCTTAACAAGGATGCGTCCCTTAATAAGAATATATCCTTAAACAAGGATATATTTCTTAATAAGGATATGTCCTTTAATAAGGATACGTTTCTTAACAAGGAAACATCCCTTAATAAGGATATATCCCTTAACAAGGATGAAAGTCGAGTGACGACAACACCAGTACCAACGAAGATCCAACCAAAAGGTCAACGAGCAATTAAGGGAGAGCATATAGCTCGAATTGACGTCGGCACGATCGAGGTAATCGATCGTATGATAAATAAACGAGATTTTTTCCGCGATTGTGTTTACAACGTAACTATTAAATGCGAATTAATAAATGAATAATCATGTAATCTCGGCCTGTCTACGACTCTGTAAGGACAAGGTCGCGGACGCGTCGACGACGGTGTCGATCAGACCATTGTACAAGATCGAAGATCGTCTCAGATTGAGGCAACCTGATACGACGGTGACTGTCAGGATCCACCAAGCTGCGAGGGAACCGACGATCGCGAAGGAACAGTCTCGCGTCGAAGACGCGATCGAGGTAATCGATGGTGACTAAAAGTTATTCCAAACGTTAGATCCGTAAGGAAAATCAAATCGAACGTCTTACGTTTATTTGATTACAACATCGATTTATATTTTTTAAGAAAGCATTTGTGGTCTAAGGTTATTCAAAATGTTGCCAAAATCTTGTTAATTTAGTAATTAATACTAAAAGTGTACGAAGAGCGATTGTGTGACAGAATATCTACATTTTATATATAACATTTTAAAGAATCTTAGAAGGAATGTTTTTTTTTAAATTGTAATGCGTAAGTAAAAGCCATGTTTGCCATTTATTACCAAAGTAAAAATCTTATAAAATAACTTAACATAACATGGCTTTCCTGAGCATTACATTTTTGTTCAGTCCAACATGGAGAGCACATTTAAAATAGAACACATTTTCGAATATTAATTAAAAATATGAAACATTTTCATGCGTGCAGTGAAGATTTAACTATTTATGCAACTTACAAACAGCAAAAAGGTCATATTGAATATTAAGCTATATTGGAGGCATCTATTATTAATAACCTTTAGTACACACATGATCATGTCTTGTGCATTTCTTTTTCTTGAAATACTAGGAGTATCAAGTAATTAGTTATAACATTTACATACAACTTTTTAAATATAGTATAACGATACAAATCTTTTCTAAAGATGTTATAATAGTAAATAAGTAATAATAAAAAGTAATAATAATAAAAAATAAAATAGTAATAATAAAAAGTAAGTATATGTAAGAATTACTTATAATAACTCTTTTATATATTGTTAAAAAATTAAAAATTATGAAAATTAAAACTCGGGACATCAATGACCCATGTGTAGTATAAAAGGACCGGAAAATCATTGTGTGTGTATTAAGAATTAATATAATATAAAATATATATATTTTTTTAATAATAATTTAAATTTATAAATGTGTTAATACTAATTTGTATTAAAATTGTTTAAAATGTTAGAGCTGATTTGTGTGCTCTCTAATAAAAGATTGTGTCTCTCAAATACTCCGAGATATTTGTACATCGAGCTTTGAGCTTCGTGTTTGACGTACAAATGACTTTAACGGGTTAAAGATTGACCACGTTCGTTCGCTGCTCATTCGTGCCTTTATTATCGTCTCTCATACGTACACCCACGTGACGATTCAAAGATCGCGTGAACCGCGCAATCGTCGGCGCAATTATACGTCGGTTAAAGAGACGAACGATCCAAGCTCATTCGTATCATCCTTTCTCCTCTCTCTCGTTATCCTCCTCTTTTTCGCGTGTGTGCGGGCGACAGCTCTCCTTTTCTCCTTCGGAAAATGACTTTGGTACCGAAAGCAGGCGGCGACGCACCTGCGACCGGTTTTCGAAGTCGATCGCGGTTAAGTGGCCGCGCCGCAAACTCAGCAACTCGGCTCGCACGGTGGTCAATACCGTTAGAGACCGACCAAGCGACGTACTCGCTTTGCCTGGTTTGCCTGTTGAGAATTATCGGCGCCGGTAACGGCGCCGAGAATCACGTAATGTCGCACCGAATCTCTTCTCACATTCATGCATATTAATTAGCAAATCGAAAACAATCGAACTCGCAATTTACTGCAGCAGCCAATCTTTTCTTTCGGTGTGGAGATTTTAGAAATATTTATTATTGATTTTAATTAATTGATATTATATCCCAGAATTAAGTTAAGCAGGGATAGCAATGTTTGAAAATTTTAATTTTTTACGAACCTTACTTTTTTTTTTACAAACTTTCGACAATCAAAACGAGAAATCGCGGAATAAGATTCGTTGACAGTGCATTATATAAGCTTAATCTGATTAATTAAATAATGAAAGAAATCTTCGTTTTTTTTAAATATAGATTGCGAAATCAACGAAAGATACGCTTGATCGAATTGTTCCGGTGGCCAAGGAAGATTTACGTAAGTCTCGTAGAATGTTACTCACGATTTCATTGCTTCGCAACATGCTAAATTGTTCAGATAATTGTAATTTACACTGGTTAGAATCCAAGCTTGCACATGAAAATATAAGGAAATGTTAGAACATAAGAAAAATATAAGAGAAAGTTAGCTAAAAAATATTTTACACTAATGATGTTGTTGAACTCAAATTTGTTCATTTTAAACAAAATGATTTATATAATAATTTATTCTCTTTTTAAATATTCTTTATTTTGCTTGTCTTAAAAACATGTTTTTATCAGATTCAACAATTATTGTCACATTAACAATATATATTACATATACATATTGTATTTTATAAATTCTGCAATATAATTGCCATATTTTGCATGATAATAATTGCAATAAATGCAATATTTTTTCTATTTATAACAGCGCAACTAGAAAGCGCCAGCCTAAGCCACACTGCGGCGCATCACCGAATCTCTGTGCGTCCGAAGAACCGGCGTCCACCGCGTCGCACGACGACAACATCCTCCAACAGTGGCGCACCCAGTTCGCCATCGATACCACCGACCATCGCTGAGGACACCTTGGACAGTTTGGAGCAACAGGAACAAGAACAGCAACAGCTCCAATCAATCAGTAATGCGCCGTCACCAACGGAGCCACCTAGGGCCATTGGCGTGACTAGGAAGTCGTCAAGCCGATTGTCCCGCAATTCCGACATCTTCGAGGAATTGGAATCAAAGCTGCCGCGAAAACCAAGCGCAACATCGTTATCGCCAGATAGTCTGGACGCTACGACAGCGTCGCGAAGCAGTGCAGAGATGAACAGCACTGCTACCGAGGAACAACAGGCAGAAGTCAGATGGATACCGGTCGCTAGAAGGCCGTCTAATCGGATATCCAAGGGCTCCGATGTGTTTGAGGAACTGGAAGCGAAACTACCGCGTAGAAGATCTTCATCGAATCGATTGTCCAAGTCGCCTGACAGTCTGGATTCGTCTCCTGGCTGTTGGTTCTCCAAATCTACCGAAGAAGGCTTCGACAAATTGATGGAGTATGAAGAGATCGCAAAACCAGTAGCTTCGGTCAGGAGACAACTGTTGAATCCAATTTCGAAATCTACTGATCGTGTTTCTAAATCATCGGACAGTTTAGAAGCGATCGAACCGCTGGCCAGCGATGATTCGATGGAACGACGACGAAGTAGTTTTGACTTCCGAGCGCGCAGAAGTTCGAAGGCGATGTCTAAATCGTCGGAGAGCTTTGACCTGCTTGAGCAGAATAGCTGCGCCGGTGAAGAAATCGGTCAAGAATTGCAGAAGAGAAGCAGCGTGTCCGACATCAATTTATCGCGCGGAAGAAGACTGTCGAAGAGCATATCCAAATCGTCCGAGAACTTTGAGAGAATCGATATGAACGACATGAAGGACGATGTCGAGGCAGAAGTGATACTAGATGACGACGTGCCAAAAGGTGGTAGACGATCAAGCAAGAGAATGTCCTCGGAAAGTTCGGATAATTTGGACGTGGAAGACAGGCTAGAGAACAGGAGGGTCAGAAGAACACCTAAAAGAATACCAAGCACCAGCATAGTGGATATGGTAATTTCTGGAGATGACCACGAGGGAGAGAAGCGACCGACTCCTACCAGAAAACCGTCAAGGCTACAAAAATCCTCTGAAAGCTCAGAACTGGGTAGCACGGATACCCTAGATTCGGAGAGAAGAAATAAGTCATCGGAGAGCACCGAGACGTTGGATAGTCTGGAGAAAGACTTGGAGCAGGATAGGAAGGAAGAGGAGATCACAGATAGTGTGATAGATAGGCGTGAAAAAAATGTAAGATTTTATGAAAGACAAGAAAATGATATACATTAATTCTCAATTACAGCTATAAAAACTGCATCTAAGTTCTACAGACTTCAATTGAAATCTTCCGTCATACGGTGATTGATAGGGGAAAATTCATAGTTTTTTTTACCTATAATTTAGAATCTCATAGTAGTAAAATAAAATAAAGATTGTACAACAAATAAAAAATTTTCGCTTCATGTACAAATGACTCATTACAATAGTCGAGGGTTATAAGAGAGCATTTTTCTAGTTTTTCTTCTTATCTGAGAAGAAATTATGGTAATTAAATGAATAAATTTTCTTAGTATTAACTTATTTTTTTATCATTTCAAGATAATAAAATTTACAATAAATGTTAAATTATATATAAGTTTAAAAAGCTTTTTTCTACCTGTGTATTCTCCAAATATATTCTTAATTCTTTTCTCGATAATGGGAGAATTAATTTTTAATAATCTTTCAGGATTCGTGGTCTAGCAGAAACGTACCAGCAATTGATTCCGATCAAACGTCGATGGGAGACGACACCGAAGACTCCAAATCGCTCATTTCCGCCGACAATAAATACTACTGGCGTCAATCTTCTGAACCAGTATCTAAGGAAAACTTAGGTATCCAACAGTTGTTAGCCATCACAATAATGACCAGGGTGACGGACAACGGAAATAATCAACGAGGTTCCATCATTTATCCGAAGAAGAAACAAGTGAGCACGTCGCAGCCATCCTCGCCGGTGGCCAAGCAGGAAGACACAAAGATGCTTTTTGATAATTTGCTGGTGAGCAATAAGAACGATGAGGACCTGCAGAACATGCTCAATGGAAACATATCGGAGGTGTCTACTGACACCAAGAGTTTCAAGGAGAAGCTGATCATGTTCGAGAAACTCGGGAAATGAACGCGACGCGATAGAATCATTGTTTCACGATTTTTTTTCGATTAGCGAATCGCTTTGTTATAGCGGCCGATGCTTAACGCAGGAAGAGAAAATACGGGAAACGCGAGAAAAGATAAACGATCTCGTTTAGCGCTTGGTAAATACGCATGTTGTAGATTAGTGTTCTCCTTATTGGAGCTATTTGGATTATATAAATGGAGAAAAGCAAAAGAAATCAAGAATTAAATTGCAGATAATTATTTTTCATAGACAATTTTTTTTATCGTCCAGAGCTGTGGATACGAAATAAAAAAAATCAACGAGTAATCATATATGTGTGGTATGTGTATATATATATATATTTAAATCTATATACATGTATATACACACAGCACACACACACATACGAGTAAAAGTATTAAATCGGAACATATTCTTTTAAATATACATATATATATATATATATATATAATATATATCTAGAGAAAGTAAAAATTTTTGAAGTACCAAGATGAATGGTTTGGTATTTAAATTATTTCTAAATAATTTTTTCGCATATTTGTATATCAATTAATCAAAATGTAATCACGACAGCGCACGATATCTCTAATTTTGAAAATCAAAAAAACTTTTATTTCACATTAATAATAATTAACATCCGGCTGTGCTTTGTCGTTGATACATTTATTAGGGAAATCAATCCCATCTGCGACATTTTTCAATTCTCATGTTCGTGGTTTTTTTTTTATACGACTGAAAACTTCGACATTTGAGATTATACCATTACAGAAACGCATTCGCAAATGCGCGTATATTCTCCTAGGGAGCTTTATTTCATTCGCAGATAGTTGTACAGTAGTTGTAGCAAAGATGTGATCCTTTCGGAGTGATGCATTTATAAATATCGTATATTATCCCGTATTGTGTAAATACGAAAGGAATATAGCAAAGTTGTGCGTTATCACTTTAATGATTTTAAAGAAAAAATATATATAAATATATGTTTGTCACACATCATAGTATTAACATTGATAAATGTAGAAGAGACACGAGTTGTAAACTGTACGACGGTCTAAGAAATGTTACGTGTGCAATTGTATATTTTCGACGCTCTCGAAAAATCTATTTGTTCTATACAAGAAACGTAATCTCCCACACGAATTGCCCATAGACTGCCTATATGTGTAATGCGTAACCCGAATTATGTTAAAATGGGCTTACAATTCCTCGTCGTTGAAACATATCACTAAGTGATATTGATACTTTTTGTCTCGATTTAATTAAATGCCTAAAAGATTGTTAAAAGGAGGATCATCTAGATGATGTATGCAGAGGAAAATTTTGAAATTGTCAATAGTCGGCGATAGCATGCGATTATCCAATTTTTCTTGCTGACCCAGGATATGCGTTGAGTCTGTATAGAGCATATCATCTTACATTCTTCGAAATTCGCGAGAAAGAAATGATTTTTTGTAGCCTTTCAAGTGCCTTACCGAATCAATCGAGGAACTAAATCAATATAGGAAATGCAGGAAATATCACCCTTCTCCCCATTTAGTTATTCAGATAATGAACGTACGTTTCGGATCCCGAAAGATGTAGAGATTGTCTCTTAGAGTAAATCAGAGAAAACTGGATTTAACCATCACGTCACTGTAATATTATATATAATAATATACAGAATAACAAGAGAAATTCTACACACAGGCATACATACAAGCGCGCATTTACACACTCAACAGATTTTCTTTCCATTGATGTAAATAAAGCTGCCAATTACGGTTCGACAACAGAATCCCTTTCTCTTTTTTTTTTTTATTACATCCACATCCCATAATATTCGCGCCATTTCCGTGGCGCGTCCTTAAAAAATTACAAAATCACTGACTTAAGTGTACTTATAATGCTGAACATTAAGACATTATCTATACGTACGTATGGATAATCGAATCCTGAAAAAGGTATGAACTCTTTCTCTCTTACAAGGTTGTACTAAATAATATAATGTACATCTTATTCAGATTTTTTTACGTCAGCCATGACATATCTCGATTTTATATATTTTTATATCACGTAAAAACGCTTTGTGTACGTACAAAAAGAGGAATGTAACGCGAGTTTTTTTTTTTTTAAAGTTGGCAATAAATTCGCGCGTAACAATGTGGTCTCTGCGGTTTCACGAAACAGGATAAGATTCAAGATAATTACTTTATCGCTCTAACGAATTTTGTTCAATATTATGCAAAAGACTCCTCGGATGCAAGGATGAATTATTGATCGCGATCATAATAGTTGTAATTTGCGTATATAGTGGCACATTTCAGCGGAAACATTTATCATTTTTGTTTCAAAGTACCGAAGTTACTGAAGTTATTATTTAAATGATATATATTCATGTATTGTATTAGATTGATCAAGGAACTTTTTTGCCTATTTTTATTAACATATTGTGGACCGATGATATGCGAATTATAATAATCGATAAAATATATAACATGTCAATAAAATATAACGATTTCGAACGGTTCACGATGTATTAATGTAAAAGCGATTAAAGTTTTTGATCAAACTAATACATGACTAGGCTCCATTGATAATGTATTTTATCCATGGTAGTGATCTTATTTCGTCTTTAAAAGAGTACAAATTTTGATACTAAAAAGGTACGACAACCGATAGCGTTTCAAAATTTCTGAGGAACTCCATCACCTAAATGCTAAACGGTAATGACTGCTATAGCTATTCTGGAAACAAAAACGAAAAGTATTGGGTCCCAACCAGAGGACAGATATCCATTGAAACAATGAAGAATACTAGCTACATTACTAATCGCGATTGCGTTGGAAATACTTGCAAGAAATAGATTTTTTATTTCAACGTTATTTCTTATCGGTCCTTGCAACTCGATATTCGCATCTCGCGAAAGAGCTTAAGTGCCTGACGTTCACATTGTATGTGCGACTAATCGCGTTTTCATTTTACTATACAAATCCACGAGTTTACAGTTCATCGTGCTTGTCGGCGGTTTCTGCTGCATTAGGATTGCAAAGTGCCGGCGTGGAGAATTCCATGGCATATTCGCAGCGACTCGGCTCCGTTACCGATATGAGCTTGTTTTCCGTCCCGCACGAGAGAGTGACAATCGTGGAACGCGCTGGGCCGTTCCAACAAGTAAGGCCTCGGTCGTACTTCATCTTAGTATATTTGGCACCAGTCGATCCGACCCATTCGTTCCAGTGGCCCAGATTGACGCTGCTACCACCGGATTTGGACCTTTGGGTCGCCATGGCATACAGACACAATTTGTAAATGTACTCCAAGTCCGCGTACTCGAAGCACTCGCCATCAAGCGATGTAAACACCTCTTCAGGCCCATAATCACGACCCAGCTTCTCCTCCAATTGTCTAATTTCCGACTGTAATTCATTGATGGCCTTCTCTGTTTCCTGGAAACGTTCGCGAGCATTAGTAGCTTCATCGATAAGTGCCTGCGTCTCCTCGTCATACTGAACTTCCGGTTCTGGTGATTCCTTCTCGTGTTCCTCCTCAGGTACTTCCTCTTCTTCTTTATCAAAAACCTCTTCTTCCTTCTCGTGATCCAAGTCTTCAGTAGGCTGCTGATGATCACTGATCTCTCCTCTTTCCTTTGCTGCTTTGAATATACCTACAATTATGTAATAAAATTGATAGTTTACGGATTGTAGAAAACGAAAGATAACACATAAGTTTTGATATTTACCTTGTTCCAACATCAAGAAAGGCTTGATGTTTGCCCAAGCATTATCTGTAAACTGTTGCAAAGTGACTTCCTTATCACCAAGGAAATACAGCGCTTCTTCCTCTGACACAACACCGTCTCTGTTCTTGTCAAACGTAGCTCTGGTTTGTAGTTCCACTATCGTTATCGTACCGCTGGAGTCCGAGTCCAATATTTTAAAATAATCTTCCACTTCGGAAACACTCAAGTCCTCGTCTTCCTCTTCTTCCTCTCCGCCGGCCTCTTCAGTTGCCGGTTGTTCTGTTTCGGTAGGTTTGTACTTTTCGAGTGCTATGCTCTCCAGTTCCTCTGCCTGCTTCTTCAACAGCTCTTTTTCCTTTTTGATCAACTCCGCTTCTGTGTAATCCGTTCTCAGCTTGGCCAAACGTGATTGGTGCTCAGTCTTGATAGTTTTACCTCTGGCCACTAGCTCTACACGCAGTTTGTTACCCTCTCGTGCCAACTGCTCCGCTTTCTGTTGTATCAAACGGGCCTCCCGGCCCAGCTCGTTGCAGTTGTTGATGCACTCCACTCTGGACGCGTACTCGTCACTCGTGTCGCAGCAGTCGCACACACCATCGTTCACCCAGGATGACGGTATATAGGCGGGTTTGTGACCGGTGTTCTCGCAATAGAAGACACCGTTGGTGCAAGCCGCTGTCCCGGGCTCGTCACTGCCGTCTCCACAGTCGCAGTAGTCATCATTCACTCGGGTGAACGATATTAGCCGACTGCCGTCTAGGCACTCGAAGTCGCGGTCAGGCCGGTACAACGAGTTCTTCGCTACCGGTATACCGCGTATCTGCAGCACTCCCGAGCCGGCTACGTGGCCTGGCGTGTACGTGGCCAGGAGCAGGCTCATCAATGCCGCGAGTGCCAGAGATCGCGACGCTCGACGACCGTCCATTCTCTGGCTCACGGATCACAAGTCTCTTCGGAGGTTAATGTCGATTTACCCGGACTGCCCGGACTCGCCCACGTCAGATTCACGAATGTTGAAGGAGGGCCGTCCTTTTGAGGTTCGAGTACAACGCGACACGACTGCCACACTCGGTCAGGTGGAAGGTGGAGGGATCTCAATGGACCTCAAGCATCATGGAACTCAGGTTATGCTCTTACATATATATTTTTAGCAGCCAATGAAAACCATATGCCGCCATATTGCCGCGATTATTTGAATTAAGAATTATCTATTGAATAATAACTATGATAACATATAAACATATTTTGCATTTTCTATATTTAAGAAGTGTGATTATTGTTATTCATATAACTACTTTTGTCGTTTTTCCTTAAAAGATACAATACAGTTCTGGTGCTGAAAATAAACACATAAAGATAATTCACCTTTTATTAATGCAAAATTAAAAATTTTAATAATTTATTTGTATTTATCAATAAAATACATTTTTAAGAGACTAAGGAGCCTCTAAAAAAAAAATGGAGTCCGAGATTGTAGCCCCCTTTTAGCCCCTCTTTAATTCAGACCTGATAATATTCAAACGCGGCACGTTTATCAAGATATCGGAACATAAGATATTTTTAAAACAATTTTTAAATAAAAATGGATTATGAATACCTCTCATAGACTTAGGAAATCATAGATGGAGCATAAACTATTTCTACAAACAAGTAACAGGGATGTTAATCGACGACGGAGTATCACTTGAAAGTTGGAGTTGGAGCGGTGCACTGAAAGTGCAACCATGAGCAGAAGATAATCAGGAACGGAGTAAACAGAATTAAAATACGGAGACTCTGGGAGATTCTCGGTGATTACGATTTGCTCGTAGAAACCGTTCATTTTGTTTTCCCTCTCGTGGATACTTTATTTCTTTCACGCGTTTATTTCACGTACGACAAGTGGCAAAAATCGTCGCGATCTCGCTACTATCTGTTCTAAGAACGTCGAACAAGCTCGAAATTGCCTTCTCATGGAGCATGACACGCTCTCACGTTCTTAGACGTGATTTAAGAGACACCAGGAGTCATCAGGTGAGATCTGTCGAAGCACAGGCTGATCGAGAGTAATCGAAAAGGCTCCAATAGTTCCGATCACAGCGCGGAGATTATACAAGAACATGACTGTTCTTTTCCCCTGTTTTAGTGTTTTCTCATTTTAGTCACGGCGTGAAAACATCGACAGAAAGATCGAAAGAAGGAGAGAGAGAGAGAGAGAGAGAGAGAGAGAGAAGGGGAGGGGACAGCTAAGAATCATTCGATCTGCGCATAAAGCAGAGATAAAATCGAGGAAATCGTTGCGAGGGTGATGCGTCGAAATCGACCAACTTCCGTTCTGTCATAATGATGCGCGGACGAATCACCTGCCGTGTTTCGCGCATCATGGCGACGCTCAGCTGGTAGTGGGTCTGCTGCTGCTGCTAGTTAATGAGGGGTATGTGACGGTTGCGTTCGGACGACTACTGCGAGTACTGCGACAACATCGTTACGCCTCGATCACGTTTGGCAAGGGTGATTCGTGCTGCTTCTCGCGACGAGTCGACGGTGTGTATTGTCGTGCCGCGACGAGCGGCGGTCCAGGTCGTCCAGGTAAAATGGCAAGAAGCACGGTCGTCGAATGTGCGTTGAAAGTCGCTGTCTCGCTGTCGCCGTCGTCATCGCGTCTGTACGGAAGCCTGTAATCGCTCGCGCGGAACGAGGAAGCGGGATCGCGATCTCGAGTAGACGTACGCGAATGCTACGCGCGAGCGATCTGTAAAGCTGACAGCTCGCCACCAGTGAAAGAGAAAGAAAGAAAGAAAGAGAGAATCATGGGCAACTGCTTGAAACGTGCCACCGGCAACCAACAGGACAATACCACTCTCCTGAGCAATAATCCCGAGCCCAACGTATCCACGAGCGGATCTTCGCAAGAGGGTCTTGGACCACCAATCCCCTACAACGTAATTCACGTACATCGCCATTGCTTTCTTATTATTATTGTTGGTTGTCTTTTATCGTTATTGTTGTCTGTTTTATCTTACCCAAGATATTTTATAGTCTTTGAGTACTATATATTTAGGGAGACGCTATTAGCGTTCTTTGTATTATTCTATTTTTATTGTTCATTGAACATAAAATAAAGATAGAATAATACGAGGAGTGATAGTATTGTTTCCCAATACTTTTTTTCAAATCTGTTTGTGATCTTCCTTAGTTATTTGGTTATTTCTTATTTATTTGAATATATATAGACTAATATTCACAGTAAGTTCTTGTTTTAAGATTGTTTGAAATAATATTTTTAAGTTGCTATCTGGCCACTATTCATACTATATCAAAAACTGTCTTAAGATATTAAGAACCAATCAGAGTCATGTATATGCATCTTCAGACATTACTTAAGATAATCTTAAAATAAGAACCTACTATGAATCCCAGCCACTGGTTGACTTATGACAACTTAAGACTGTACTTAAAACAGTCTCATATATATTTCAAATATAAGAATGGACTATGAATATCAGCCAAAGTATTCATAGTTGATTCTTATATAAGATCATCTTAAGTACAATCTGAAAAGAGGGCCATATTAGCATCTTAAAACGTTACTTAAAACAATCTTAAAATAAGAATGAACTGTGAATACTACCCATAGATCTGATTTTAAACACAAAGGCTGTAATTAATGGTGAAGTGGACTCAGGCTGGTAATGGACTCAGACAGGATTAGTGCAAATTAAAGCAAATGCAGTAGCATTAATAACTCTTACTTAACTTTGATAATGAAATAGTATATGTTATGTTAAATAATATGATAATATCATTATAGTATGTATGAAGGTAGCGTATCATTTTGCAAAAATTTATAAATTAGTGAGAGTTTTGAGTATATTTTCAATAATTCTATTATACTTCTAACGTTTTCTAAAAAGAATTCTCTGTCATATACACTAATTATTTATTTTTTTAAATAATTTTTATTGCATGGAAAAGGCATTTTAAGATTACATTTGAAACTATTGATGTCTCACAAAACATGATGAGAATTCTGGAATAGATATTTCTGTTCTTTTACAAGTTTTAAGGATTCACAAATAATATGTAGAAAAATGTCGCGATTGAATACTAATTAATTTTTCAATGTTCTACAGCAAGCAGCTTATTATCCGTCGATCGCTACGAGGGAACGTCATTTACAGTCTACCAACTTGAATATTGGTCACGGGATTGGAGTCAACTTGGTACAGAGTATTGGCTCTGCTGGTTTAAGCGAAGAGGAACAACAAGTGAGAATTGCGAAGCGTATAGGACTGATACAGCACTTGCCAATGCGAGAGTACGACGGTGCTAAGAAGGGCGAGTGCGTCATATGCATGATGGAGCTGCAGGTGGGCGAAGAAGTGCGCTACCTTCCCTGCATGCACACCTACCACGCGATCTGCATCGACGATTGGTTGCTGCGCTCGTTAACATGTCCGTCATGTATGGAGCCAGTGGACGCGGCGCTAATTAGCTCATATCATCCGACTACTTAATACAGGAGTGACGGGAATTTTCATCGATTTAGCCGAACGGCGAATCGCAATTAAATTATCAGGCTAAACATGAAGTGTAACTGAAGTGGCAGCGAGAGAAAAGAGAAAGTCGCTACTTTTGCTATAGAACGTATAAACGCTTCTGAGTAGTAGAGAAATTGCGTGTTAATGATCCGATTGTATTTCGCCGTTATACACGATATATACATGCGCGCGCGTGATGTTTAATATAATAATCTATACAACAAAGAACACACACCCTCCCTATAAATCCGCAAGTATTTTGTTTTTTCTTAGATTGTTTCCTATGAAAAGGAGGACGAGACTTGATTTTAATTAAATCCTAGTAAACATCACAGCCCCCAAATTCTTTTTCGTAGTGAGTTTTAATTGCTTGTACATTGATTTTTCAATTAAAAACGAAAATGAGGAGGCGGCTCGATGTAAAAGTGCAATAAAACGTTGAGTAAGCCTCATGTACACTGGTAGGTATAGTATATCGGAACAATAAGTCTACATCATACATACATATATATATATGAATATATATATATATATGTGTATATATATATATGTGGTGTATGTATGTACGCACGTACGTACGTATGTATGATGTATGTATGATGTATGTATGTATGTATGATGTGTGTGTGTGTGTAGTAACAAGATAATAAGTACGACACGTGCGGAAATTATTATGTCGTTTGTATTTCTCGAGCGGCTTTGTGTAACAATTTTCATGTAAGTTCTTGTGCGAATGTTGACGAGCCGACGCAATTATGTTTTCCTTCTCTGCTCTTGCATAAACATTTTTAATCGCCTCCTTGAATTCGGACGTAACGTATCTATTCTCGGATAAACTAAATTAGTGGATAATTTTAATTTTAAGCCTATGAGGTAGAATTTGTTTTAATATGCAGCTTACACGTGCAGTAAGCACGTGCAGAAATTGGCGGTTTTCTTCGCATCTAAAACTGTTGGGACTTAAGCGGACGACAGTCTGTTACATTTTCGTGACAAAAGGGAGACTGTCTCTAATGATATTCGCAATGTTTTAATTTTTTTTTATGCCTCGCAACGTGTCGTTACGTAAATCGCTTCTGCCGCGACGAACATTGAACATTTTTCATTTAGATAACATGTACAAAGAGAAAAAATGCTTCATTGTATGCTACGGACGATTAGCGATTTATTGTACCTACAAATAGTATGGGAACATGTATAGCAACGAATAAAAAAGCAAACAAAACAGTAAACTAAGAGAGAGAGAGAGAGAGAAAATGAATGAATGAATGAATGAATCAATCAATCAATCTAAAACGCGATAAATGATCCACCCTGTTGAATACTACACGCTAAATAATGGGCTACGTAACTTAGATTCTGTTGTTAATTTAGTAAAGCTTGTTAAACTAACTCTTGCTGCAGTTACAGTAAAGCAGTGTACATTTACCGTTCTGTTAAAAATTTTACAGAAGTATGTACAGTTTCGCATAGAGAGTTTCGTACGTCGATGTGTAATATGCGATAAATAGTTTTATTTGGAGCAAAGCAACATTTTAAGTCGAAGAAAAAAAAAGACGGAAAGAACGCGATTAAATGTTTAATTTATGAAAAGAGGAGGAAGAAAACTTAACATATGATATCGCCAAGTTTTCATTTTTAATGGGAAAATAATGCTGTGAAATAGTGATTTATTGACGAAGTACAGAGGTATATAAATAATGATTTAATACACAAATATAAATATTTAGTAAGAAAATTTTTGTGTTTCTGGAAGCTCCATCTCGACACAAAATTCCTCGATCGCGCTCTGATCGAACGTTTAAATTAGAGCTATATTTGCAAATTCTAAATAGAGAATAGCGTAAATTTTATAAAAAAAAAAGAAAGATAAGCCAAGGAAGGCTAACGTTACAAACTTAATTCTATATACGGATCTTTCTAAAGTAAAAAAAAGAAAAACAAAAAGGAGATATCCGAACGGTTTGTCCCGGTGAGAGAATCGCTCTAATCAATATGTTGAACATTAATTGCGCAATTAACGCCCTGTGTCACGACGGTAATCTAAGAGTCCCATCTTTTTTCGTTCTTAATTAGTTTTGAGTTTTTAATTATTATGATGAATTTTTTGATTAGTTAAGTGGTCTTTTATTTTCGTAGAATCCCTAGAACATGAAATGTATTTATAAAAAAAAAGTAGTAAATTTTTATTTGTGTAATTACTATAACTAAACAAGTAATCTAAAGTTGTACTTAAAAAAGTGCATTTTCTACTAAACTATTATCAATATCAAAACGACGTTTGATATAGATATTCATTTAGAACGTTTCAAAGTATTTTTTTTAGAATTTTTCAGATTTGTCTACTACTTTGATTTTTTTCTACTATAAATTAATACTTTGAAAAAATATGAAAAAATTAACTGTAAATCCAAATAAATGATTTGAATATTTTTTATAATCGTGTTTTAGGGATTTTTTTTGGATTTCTAAATCCTAATCCGAGGGGTCAATTATTTTAAAACTTAGTTTCTAAATATTTTGGTCACTGCATCTGAAGTCATTATTAAAATCTTTTTTTATTAAATAATTTATTTTTATAAATAATAAACTAAATATAATTTACTAAAAGTTATTTTAGTAAAGCGCCATAGTTGGTTTTGAATTTAAAAATTCTGATTTCTGATTCGTAATCGGTGATCTGAAAAATCCCAGGATACAAAGTCGATTTTGAAAAAATCAGTCGTGACACAAAGGGTTAACCGTGGGATATCACGACAATCTGCCAGGCTACACATTATAATCATAAGTTTCGACAGTGGCAATTGTATTTGACTGGCGTTTGGGAAAAATGATAATAAATATTTGATTGAAAAAAAGAAATATCTTCCAGCTGCAGTCGAATCTGATCTTTCCGCAAATCATGGAGTCTATGTTGCTGTAAAATTACAAGGACGATTCTTGCATCTCTTAATTACAGGAGGAGATTGAATTAACGACACCACAATTATAAAAGTAAAAATGTGAGAATTTTAGTGTATTACATTACTTACAGAAGGAAATCTTATGTAGAATACGTAGCACACCTGTATAGCGTTGTTAATGTCACTATTTACAGTTACGTTTTATCCGAAATCTCGAAACAACTGCGAATAACTGTCATTTTTTTTTTTCTTTCACTTAGATTTTAAATATCGTAAAGAGATTTAATTTTTCGTTTGTAATAGAGTACGAATAATACAAAATGCTAATCGGAAGTATTCTCCACATCATTGACATTTGCAAATTATATTTTACGTTATTTTTCAGAGAGTTTGGCTCTTAAATTAGGAATATGACAAAATGTATTTTTCCTTAAGCTGTATGAGACCAGACCTGACGACAACACAATTTTCTACGTGATACATTTTCCATACTTGCTACATTATAATTTATGCGAAACTAATATAAGAAGAGTTTTCTCTTTTCATTTCCTTCAGAATTATTGAAAAATTATGTAACTTCGTCCAACAAAACTTGGTACAAAATCGGTTCTGATGCTTGTGAGATATGTACAGATTTCTCAGGTATTATCAAAATACAATAAAGTTACATTTACAGATGTGACTGGAAATTGTACAAATAGCTCTCGAAGTATACATATAAATATTACACTAGCGGTATACATCAATATGTTTTCAATGGTGCTTTGCCAGAAACATAATTCATTAACACCACCCCTTACAGAAATTTAATACTAGAAAGTAGTGATTGATTATTTATTTCGAGTATTAAAAACATTCCCAGTCAGCGAAATATCAGCAACTTCAATCAAAATATTCAGCAAATTGACATCAATTGCATTAAGTCTGTATTTTGTTGCTAAAGCTTGCTAAAATTATCAGCAAAAACCAAGCAAAGCTTTTAATCAGTTTGATTGGTTCTTATTGTCAATTTACTGTCAGATTATCAACAAATTTTGTACAATTTTATCAACAATTTATTCTCATATTTTGTTCTATACCTGTTATCAATTTGCTAATATTCATTGAATGTAACAGAATTTACATCAAATTTGATACTTTTTATCAACAAAATTTGTTGATAAAAAATAAACATTTAACAAAATTAGTTTTTAACAGATTTGGCTGACTGGAACTGTTTAATAATTTTAAAATAAGTAACTTCTAATATTAAATTGACCAGTATGAGATTTCTGTAAGACACAAAGTTTCGTTTTGAGACTTAATCAACGCGAGTTTCGTTCTTTTTTTTTTGTACTCCGACTTGATCGCGATTGAATAATTCTCAACACTTCGTTGATTCCTAAACAGACGGAAGTTCCTCCATCTTGCAATTCCAGCTATATTGAAAAATTTCGCTAAAGACTAATAAATAAGAAACGCATTCATCTTCTTGAGCTTTTTAAGCACTGGAGACATCTTGTCCTTGGAGACATCGGTGCTCGAACAATTCAAGAAGACGAATCGGCGAGTCAATCCGGCCGTTTCGCGTTTACGGGACGGTATGCGGCAATCTGTACACTACACATGATATTTTACAGATGGCAAAATCCAGTATGAACGGAATTATATAAATGGAAACATTCTCCCCGAGTATAGCCAGATATTTCCAGCTAAGATCGGAGAATACTTCGGTTTATACAATTTGTACACACACTCAGTCGACTTGGTGACGATTCGAATCTCTCCAAACATCTTTTATGTTTGTACACGAGATTACCCGTTCTCCACGTTACCCTCGTAAAAGGACTCGCATTTCTCAAGTAGACGAAGAACCGGAATAATGTTATAGGGGAACAGATTCTTGGACACCAACCGATCAATAGATAGTCGTAGTCTTATCAGTATAGTCATGGTGTTATCTAGTTCACGGCCGCAGCACCTGACGAATTCAATCCAATTACGCTTAATATATTTGAGAAATCGCAAGAGATACAACAGAAAGCAAGTCTCGTTGCTGACAAGAAGATCCAGCAGAATGCTCGGATCGTGCGACACACCTTGGATGAATTGCACAAAAGTCAATGTAGGGCTGAGCATCTGGCCTAGATCATTCTGTGGTGGACCTCGATAGAATAAGCCCACCGCAACATCCAGGCAGCAAACCATACCCTCAATGAGAAAATCATCCTGGTCATGAAACATCCGGACGACCCATTGCGACAGTGGCATCTCTGGATGGAAGGGCATCAACGCCTTTACGCACTGATCCAGTTGACGAAGTACCTCGCGGATACTCCTCTCGATCACCGCCATATCTTCGTCGAGATCCTCGACTTCAGAACCGAGGGATGAGTCACTGGAATCGCTGCGCGTCTCCCGTACTGTCACGGCGACGCTTTTCAGCACTAACAGCACCATTTTCTGCAGCAGAGGACGATCACCCTCGCTGGTGCCACCACCAAACCTGCCAGAACCATGACGGTACGGCAACGCGTCGAGTAGACGCCAATCCTTGACGGCGCGCACGATCAGGTGCGCTAAGGAGCATGGCTCGTCCGGTAGTACATCTTGTAATGCCAGAGTGCTACCATAGCACAGTACCTCGTTAAAGAGTCTAAGCAAATGTCGCCAAATTACGCCTGGCACGTTGGCATTCAATAATACCACGAGATTGTTTAGCTGCGAGTAAAACGTCTTGGTGTCGATGACAGAAAGATTGGCTTTGACCGAGATGATCGTCTCCCATAAATGCAGGAACGTGATGACAACAGACGCGTGTTGCGGTGTGTACGCCCCGAGAATGTCATTGAACTTGGACACAAGAATGGTCCACTTAGACTCGAGAGCCTTCACACACATCGCTTTGACCGTTGTACTATCAAAGTCGGTGATGACAAACGTGTTGCAACCGGGTGGTGGCACATATGTATCTCCATCCTCTGGATGTATACTACAGTCTTTATGCTCGACCACTCTCTTGACAACATCCAAAGTGAACAGCATCTGGTTGGGCGAGTGTGTATTAACTAGGAACTGCATGAGTTTCTCCAGCCAGGCGGTCTCTACATTGTCTCTCGTAACAATGAAGAATGATGCAAGCACGCGACTCGCTGCATACGACACGAACTTGTTGGTCGTGTAAGACAGATCGATAATCTGATCGACGATGCCGTGCTCGTTCCGCGCAACTGCGTCGCAGACGTCTGCCACTCGTTTGCACATAACATTTTTCGTGTTTTGCTTGATGGCAAGGTCGAACAGTAGCTGCAGGGCGCTAAGATATTCCAAGATTTGAACCGTGTCCCAGTCAGACAGAACGGCATAACGGATGCTACCGTCAGCTTCTTCCACTGTGAAGGTGGTGAACGGCTTGCGCAAACTGCTTTCCGGCATATTGCATAAGCATCGAGCAAGTAGATTTCTCTGCAATTCCTCGATGTCGGTGAGCAAGTTTTTGCTGCCCGCGCTAACCTCGATGCGCTGCTTCTTCTTAACTGGCTCCTCCATTACGTTGATTGGAGGACAACAGCGACACGGTGCACCATCAACTCTTGTCAAGCTAGCTTTTTTATGCAAGTGATGCCACAAAGAGAGGAGCATCCGAGTACCAAGTCAATTGTATTCTGTGTCAGTCCATTGTAGTCAGCCATTGTAAGTCAGCTGATATGCAGGCCCAACGGGAATGCCTGTTACAAATAGAATAAAAATTTATTACTTCAACTTGTATGTCAAGATAGGACTTAGTTTACGGTGAAATTTACAGTGACTGCATTCAGTAAAAAAAAAGTAGCTTTGCAATTGTCGTAAAATTCTTTGATATGATTGATTATACATTTAGATCCAGTAAGTAACTAAGACCAATCGTATTAAGGAATTTTGCAACAGTTGCAAAACTGCTGTTTTTTCTGCTGAACGTAGCCAATTTCTTCAACTTACATGACAAAATTCACTGTCTAGTGCAAAGTCTACAGTTTACATTGAACGCACTATAGATTTCTACTACTGGCAAATTTTGAAACACAGTCCAAATATTACTATTATGTAAATTCTAGATCTATACTTATTTTTTATATTTCATAGGACTCTTACGAAGAAAGTCATACAAACGCTTGAATAAGATTGACGTTCTAAACAGAAAAATAAAATAATTAAGATTTATTACCTGCACCTGCAGTATTACCAAATGATTATACACTTTGACACATTAATTCTTTCAAATCAACATCTTTCTGTCTTTTTATGCAATTTATCTGCTTTATTATTGGCCCTGTGAGCTTAAAAACGTTACGCGCATTCCTTTGTACGAACGCCAAGTCACCTTAGATACTAGCAACACGGCAGAAGCATGGTAGACGATGACTGACGTGTAACACCAGAAGCCAGTAGGCAACAAGCCAACTTACACCATTATAAATTCCCACCGCATTATCCTCGCCGCGAGAGGGGACTGCTTCTCGACTCCTAGAAGACGTCGCGAACGGTAACTGGATATCCTTCGGCAACGTGCTCGACAACGCTGAACTCGCGATTTCCCGAGATCCAGGAATTCCCTCGTTCCAAGACAAGAGAGGGGTCTTCAATGGCAGATCGCGCGCGCAACGGAACTAACTTAGCATACCGGGTCGACGACGGCGATGTTCCGCTGTCGGTGGGCGACGTGTTTGGCGCACCCCCTCGAGGGTTCCGATCACACACGGGGATCCGCGGCGTCGCGTCGCTTCGCGTCTCGTTCACCTCTCCCCGTCCCCGTCCTCGTCGCGCGTCGAGTTGGACACAGGTTGGCCGACGATCCCCGTTCCGGCGCACGAGACGCGCCGTACGTTACGCGGGGGGGTACGCGATTAAACTGGGGGGGGGGGGGGGGGGGCCAACGCACGGGATCCCTCGCGGACTAGGAAGTGACACCCACGGAGCACACAGCGCTCGCACGACACAGCGGCCACACTCGCTCTGTTGCCACGTATACGATGTGCTACCGACGGCGACGGCGGCGGCGAGAAATGACACGGGGACTCGCGTGATCGACAAACGGTCGAACGGTGCACGACGGTTGACGGCGGGGGCGCGTACCGTGTCCTATGTCGGGCGGCGAAACGTCGTGGCCGCGGCCGCGTCGCACGTACGTATTCCGGTCCGTTGGCGTGCCTCTACGGCCGGGCATCGTGCGGAGCCGCGTAACACGGTAGCAGTCCGTCGCGCATTCCATAACGTACTGAGGGGGCGGTACGCGGTGCTGCCGCGCGGCCAATTGCCGGCGGACGCGCACGCCGTTGCGTATGATGATCCACGGGCGCGAAATACGCCGTTTATCGCTGATAAAAGTCGCCCGTAACGAAATGCCGTGCGATAAATAAGCGCGCGATCATCGGCAACTCAGCATCGATCGGCACGCCCCCGCCCGGCCGTCCAACGTTAGCGCCATGGCGGGCGATTTGAATCGGTTCCAAGACGTCCTTTTCTCGGGGAAAAAACATTTCTTTTCTGTCAAACAGAAATACGCTTTTATGTAACTTTAAATAAAATAGATATATTGTACTAGAATACACTTTTAGAACTTCAAATAAAATAGATGTACATACGTTCTTGATATTTGATTAAAACGAGAAAGAAAGTTCTCCAGTGCACTCTACACTGAGAAAAAAATATTTTGAACAAATATTTGTTTGATATTTATTTATAATGAATAAATATTTACTGAATAAATGATCGTTAAATCAAATGAATGGTTCTTGTGTACCAAATAAATATATACATTTAGTAAATATTTAGCAAATATTATTCAAAAAACTACATTCCTCTCAGTGTAGTTCAGAAAAAAAAAGAACAGGCTCAATCTTGTGAAAAGTTCACATCATTTTGTAATTGTATCGCATGCTCAGATATTTAATATTTAAATAACTCACGGAGTTGCAATATTTAATATTTAAATATTTTAAATATTTAAGAATTAAAAAGAGAGAACTTGAAAAGAATTAAATATTTAAGAATTTAAAAGCGTTTATTGTACGCCAAATTTTCTTCGATAACAAATTTTAAATGGTTATTCGAACATAAACGTTCCTCGCGTTCCGTGCGCGCGCATCTCGGAAATGGGAGTAACGCGCGTTTCCCTTTGCGCTTCCGTCCCTCGATCGTTCAGTCACCCGGCGTCATCATCCGGTCGAATTGACTCGAAGGTGCTCGAAGCTCGAAACCACTCGCGAGCCTCGAAGCAGTCCACCTCCACAGATGAGTCGGATCGGAGCAGTTAAAACGGAAAATGGCGTCCTCGAAAAGCCAACGGTGGATGGTAGACTCGGGCATTCTGCGTAAAAAGAATAGCGACGAGGAACCGCAGGAGCTGTTGGTGTTTGGATATAGCTGCAAATTATTTCGCGATGATGACAAGGCGAAAATGATTGATCAGGGAAAGCATTTGATACCATGGATGGGCGATAACACGTTGAGGATAGACAGGTCCGTTTCTCTAACCTAGACAAATTTCTCATCTAGGATATTTGTTCTCATGCCATAAATGACCACGCACCGTTACGTTTCCCCGACGACGAAACGTAACGAAAAAAAAAGTAACGACTGACCTCGACCGCAAAACAAACCGACCACCAAATTCGAAAACAAAAATAAACCAAAACCAAGTACTGCATTTAGAAGCGAAAAAGCGAGGTCCCCCTTCTCATCGTTAATCTCTGGATAAGCAAACTGGAGACTGTTTAAGGCTTCCGCAGGTGTTCTCTCGGCTGTGAAAAACGCGCAGTGTGGCAGCGCGATTTACGCGCTCTGCACGGGTGCTGTGGTGAGACGTGACGCTTATGGCTGGCCGCCTGTGCAGCAGCAAGGTGAGACACGGCGTTGAGAGACAAATGGGCAAAGGCTGACGGTTGTAGGTATTTATACAACCGCTCAGCACGGTATGTATTCGCACATTAGATTCGGGCTTTGCCTTGAGAGACGCGCAACAGGATATTGTTACTTATACTCGCAAGCTTACAGTTATGAATTTCTTTGACAGTCTATAATACGCACATGCGTGTATGTTCAATTGCGTTCCACTTTGTACTCGCAGCGCTTGTGAGTATTATTTGTCCTTGTTTAATACTTGATAAACAAGAATGAAAAGCTTCCATGAGCGTTCCAAGTGTTAAGTGAAACGCATCCTAATTTACAATAGACTGAATCACATCCATGTTTCGTTATATCAATCTTTAACACGTATATGTAACAAGATATAATAGATCTCTACATCCTAGTATCTGTATGCTAAATTTAAAATTAAATGTAATTAAGTCTAACATCGTAATTTAGTAATGATAATCGTGTTACTTGGAATAGAATTATATATATATATATATATGTAAAATATTTGTCCATATTATTGTAGTATATTGATATTTCGAAAAAGCAGAGATAAAAACGTTACTCGAGGCATCCTTTATAGCTCTGTTCTATTTCAGAGAAATCGCTTTGGTGGGATTTACTGCTTGACTTAACATTTCCAGATGCTGTGATCAACTATATATGAAAACAATTAAAACGATATCATCTTCTTCCTCTAACAGATGTATTGTATGTGTATAGGTACGATGGACGAGGGGCACTGGCTGACTTACGGATTCACGAGCCACCACCAGGTGGTTTTGATCAACGGACGATATTTACCGAGGAAGAACTGAAAGTAGAGCAACTCTGTGATGAAGAGCGGTATCGGTCCATCTACAACAATGATGCTGAAGAATCCATGTATCATGGTAATTTTTTTTTTTCAAGAACGTTTTAATTATGTTTCTTGAATGTCACAAAAGTTTAATTCCAAATTTACATTGTAGAAGAAGAGATAAAGAGATTGCATCAAGCATTGGATTCTGAATCTTCGTACAATCAAGTAGGATATAATTACAATGAAGATGAAAATGGTCATAAAGCTTCTAGCGAGGATTCTCAGAGCCCGAAACAATCGGAGGGTTCGCAAGAGGAAGATCAGGCATTTGTGCCACCGCCTGAACTGGAAATTCCCGAAGGAATGATCCTGGTAAGATGTCACTTTGCATTAACTTTTTTATAAGTATTAAATAATATGATTATATAATATATTGACTTCGTGAATGTTTAGCCGGAAACACAAAAACTGAATGCCATTATAATGAAAACAGCGCTGTTTATAAGTCAACACGGAAGCCAATTGGAAATCCTCATAAAGACGAAACAGGCAAACAATCCACAATTCGCGTTCCTATCGATAGACGAGCCGCTCCATCAATATTACAAATATGTCCTCGATGCTATCAAGAGTGGAAAATATAATCCTGAAAAACAACCTGAGAAAGAAGAATCCGGTATGCATATCATTTTCTATAACAAGCAATGTCTTATAGTAATTATATTGAAGTTGAGTTGAAGTAATTGAAGCAACATAAAGCAGGATTTGATTACCCACACCTACTTTGATTCTACTTAATTTTTTCTTACCGTAAGTATTGCCATAAATTTTTGTTAATACTCTAATTGGTAACCTATCATAATCCATC